TCCTGTGTGTGTTTTCTAGCCCTGTTTCAGTGACAAGACTAACAACCTGGAGGCTTACGTGAAATGGTTCAACCGATTGTGCTACCTCGTAGCGACTGAGATCTGCATGGTGAGTAGAAAGCCAGGTGGGCATGACCTGGCATAGCCACAGGCGGCCTGGGGGCTGGGAGGAGCCCACCAGGGAGGGAACCGGACATCTTGAACCCTGTCCATCTCCAAGTCCAGTGCCCGGCTGGGCACCCTCCAGGACAGCAAGTGTCACCTGACATTCCTACAGTGACATTTCCACTCTGGGTAGATTCCAGGACAGACCCACTGCCAGTCACAGAGGGAGTCAGACTTTTTGCTGAAGGAGTAGGTCATGCCTACTCCGCAGTGGCTTTGCTTCCTCCATCTGTGCCTGTGTGCCTTGGGCAGCCGGCCTGCAACCCATTTTGTTTGGCTTGCTCAGGATTTAGAGGTAGAAGTGGCCTGAGAACTGGGAGATTGCACATAAAAAGTCCAGGTCTCTGGCGTCTCCCAGAAAGCAAGAAGACTAAGCAACATGGAGCCAGACATGCTTGTCACTGAGCCATGGTCCTGCCTGGCCCTACGCAGCCTGTCCTCCTCTTCCTTACAGTAGAAGGGTCCATAAGGTGAAGCCCAGGGGCTGCTTGCCTCAGGGACAGGCTAGAGGTGGCAGCATATATAACAGGTTGGACTCTCCAGAAGCAGGTGCTGGACAGGGCTGGGGTGCAGACCATTAGGGGTCAGCACCTGTGAAGGAGAGCAGGGAAGAAGCAAGACTGCAAGAGGAAGGGGACTTGAGATGGAGCCATCAAACTGCTCCTGAAGTTGCCTCTCAGCACCTCCTGTGCTGCAGGTGGTTCCTGTGCCTCACCTGAGCCCTCCAAAGCAGTGGACTGTGTGCTGGCTCTGCCATGATTGCTCTGAGACCCTGAGCCCTCGGACATTGTCCAGGCCTCAAGCTCCTCAGCTGGGAAACGGGTTGAGAGAAGGTTAAGAGGGCCTGACCGGGTGAGCAGGGTGTCTGGTCAGGGCAGATGGGAGTACGCCATCACTGAGGCTCTGGTGCCCTCTCCTCAGCCGGCCAAGAAGAAGCAGAGGGCCCAGGTGATCGAGTTCTTCATCGATGTGGCCCGCGAGTGCTTCAACATCGGCAACTTCAACTCCCTGATGGCCATTATCTGTGAGTGGGCTGGCCAGGCCTGGAGCCCCCAGTGCGAGGACCCCCAGAGAGGTTGGCGTGGGCACAGCCAGGCTGGCGGGATGCAAGCCAAGGCCCTCTTCTGAGCAGTGGGTGGGTGTGGGCCAGGCCTCTGCAAGCCTGAGGCAGCCAGCAGCCCCATGCCCCGCCCCAGAGGTCCTGAGGCAAGCCCAGCCCCGTCCATGTGCTTGGTGAGGGCTTGGCAGTATGTCCCCAGATCCAGAGAGAATGGTGGACCCAAAGCAGGCACTGGCCATGGGATAGAGCCAGTGCAGTAGGGACGGGGACAGGGTTTGCACATACAGAAGCTGGGCCCACCTCAACACAATGTCCTCCAGCACCCGCTAACCCTCCATCTGGCAGGCTGAGGCCACAGCAGACCTCAGCCCCGGTCAGTCAGAGGGCTGGGCCAGCTGCAGCTATGCGGAGGCCTCCCTGCCTATGGGAGCAAGCAGGACTGTCCAGGCTGGAGCAGCCCTGCCCAGCCCAGCCCTCCCTCTTCCAGCTGGCATGAACATGAGCCCCGTCTCTAGGCTGAAGAAGACCTGGGCCAAAGTGAAGACGGCCAAGTTTTTCATCCTCGAGGTAAACAAGGTTGCTGGGCTGCCGGGTGCCACTGGCTGTCCCCTAGAAAAAGCTGCCCAGATGCCTCCCTGTCTCCTTCCAGCACCAGATGGACCCAACAGGGAATTTCTGCAACTACAGGACAGCCCTGCGTGGGGCAGCCCACCGCTCCCTGACTGCCCACAGCAGCCGGGAGAAGGTAAGTCAGAAGCCCCAGAGATCAGAAGCTTGCCCGGCCTTCACAGCTCCTCCCTGCTCCAGACCACCTTGGCCCAGATGGGCTGTATCAGGGAACATGAGTGCTGACTAAAAGATCACCTGGTCCAACCCCCTGTCCTCCTGCAGCGCCTGTAATAGATAGCCATGTCACCTTGCTTACATGCCTCCAGTATGGGGATATCACCGCCTCCCAAAACAGATCAGGCTTCCCTCAAGCAGCGATGACCTGTAGGAAGTGCTTCTCTGTGGGGTGGAAGTTGGCCACCTTGTCCTATCTGGGGGCCACATAGAGTGGGCATTCCCTCTTCTACCCGCCAGTCCTTCAGAACCCTCATGCCCCCTCGCTCTCTTCTCCTGAGTCAACACCCCAAGACCCGCCCTGCCATACTACGGTTTCCTGTCCCCTCCCCACTTGGGGCCCTTTGATTCCTGAACAAACAATGTGATCTGAATAGCTCCATTTGTCAGAGTCCCTCCTGTTTCAGATCAAATTATGATTCCAAGTATAAGACCTTGTACCTCCCTTTTTCTAAACACTGAACCTTCATTTATGTGGCCGCAGATCTCATCTATGTTTTTGGCAATGACCGAACGAAGCTTCTTGTTCACCCAAACTGCCTGTTCATAGGTCGTGTTCTTATACATTTGCATTTGGGGGGCCTTCGCTGATCCTGCTCAGTTTTATTTCTCCTCCAAATTCTCCTAGTGGACTCTGATTACAGGACACTGTACCCTGGTATTGCAATGATCTTCTAGTTTAACGCTTGTCACCATTCCAATAATTAGAGTTGTTCATCTCCATAGGGAGGAAACGCCAAGATCTGTGCCTTTTAAGTCTGGTCTCTTGTAGGAACATTGGTGGAATCAGGTCCCTGCTGTGGTTTGTGGAGGTCTGTTTCCAACTTGAGGGACAATAGGACAAATTGACGTTCTTGAAATTCCAAGTTACTCTGGAATCGTAGTGGGTGGATGCAGTGGCCAGGCTTGGGAGGCCAGTCAAGATATGCACCCTTGAGCCACCCACCGGGACTTCCTGACCCTCCACACCATGGGTCCTACAGCAGGGAGCACGTGGACAGACACCACCGTGCTGATGGCTGTGTCCTATCCAGCTGTGCTTCCTGTTAAGGCTGTGAGTGCTCCAGTCCTGGACTCTGGGTCCCAGGAGGGCTAATGCAGTGGGGGGCAACATTAGTCAGGTGAGACTTCAAATCCCAGGGTGGGTGAGCCTGCACCCCAGGAGCCCGAAGGTCAGAAAGCTGGGGCGTCAGGGGCAGGAGACTTGCTTCCCCAAGCAACTACCACACGCAGGCCACCTGATCTCCGTCCCAGCATTTAATTCTGACCGCTACTCTATGGGGTGGGCTTCAGCACTTCCATTTCCCAGGTTAGAAGACTGAGTCTCAGGAAGGAGACTTCACTTAACCAGTCACACTGTGAGTAGGTGGCAGAGCCAAAATCAAACTCCAGCCCATCTGGCTCTGGGCTTCGTGGTCTTTGCATACCACCCAGGCATGGGTGCTTTGAGGCAGTCACATGGGGCACTGGCTTATGGCCCAGAATTGGACTGTGGAGTGGGGGTATATAGGAGTTGTGTTCTTCAGGGTGTCAGTTGCAGCCCCTGGTTTGAGATGTCAGTTGTGGCATGGCTCTTGGCACTGTTTTTCTCTCATCCATGCTGAGGCAGGGTGGCTATGGGACAGGTGGACAGACTGGGACTTTACGTTCCTGTACTCTGAGCCCCCTTCCAGTCTGGGTTGCTGGGATGCTGTGCATTTAGGTCTGGTGGATGACTTACAGAGCAGTACATTTAGTTTAACTACATTCTCCTTTAACTTCCAAAGAGATATTCACCAGGCACCAGGCCCACAGAAGATGCTTCATGGATGGAAGAAAGGAAGGGAAGAAGAGACAGAGGGAAGGATGGGAGGGAGGAAGAATGGAAGGATGGAAGAATAGATAGATGGATAGATGCAAGGATGGAGAGTAGATGGATGGATGGAAGGGTGGAAGGGTGGATGGAAGGAAGGATGGATGGATGGAAGGGTGCGTGGGTTTTTGTGTGCTTGGAGTGTTCTTGCACTCCTCTGGCACTCCAGCTGAAGTTGATGAGGCCAGGAGATCTCAGTGGTCATAGCACCTTATGCTTTCTTCCTGCCTATGGCCGGCTCCTGTCTGCTCCTCTCTCAGTCTGTGTCACGGGGCCCACTTTTCTGGATGACCCCCACGCTGAGCTGCGTCCTAATCAAACTTTTCAGGCCTAGAAAGCAAGGAGAGTGGATTCAAAGTTACAGGGGGCCCCTTTGGCTTCCCTCAGGGCAGGGAGACCAGGTCACATATGGGAAGTGCTCATATATGGAAAATGCTACCTCCCTCAGGACCAGCTCCAGTGCCCCTGCCTCCAGGAAGCCTGAATCAGACCCCAAGGAGCTATCTCTGTATGCAGAGTCCCACTGCCCTTAACCCCCTCCCTGTCGTGGCAAGTCTCCCCATTCCAACCCAGTTCAGCTGTTCTACACCAACACTATGACTGAAGACTCAGCACCATTGCGGGGGCAGACATAATACCACCTTCCTCCTGGAAGCGGGAGAGCCACCTGGGTCCTAGTCCTGCTTCTGCTAGTTACTGCTGTGTGAGCATGTACAAGTTACTTAACCTCTCTGGGCCTCGGCTTCCTCATCTGTAAAGTGAAGTAATAAGAGCCCTGCTCCACAGGGCCATGGTGAAGGTGAAATGCGACCCTGCGCACACATAGCTTAGCACAGAGAAGCACTCAGGCCCACCACCAATGCCCCATGATAAGGGTATAAGTAGAGGGCTCTTTGTCCCCACAGATGGGGACTAAACCCAGCCTGGAGTGGGGAGGGGCATTAGCAAAGACTTCCCAGACAGGGCTTTCTCATTTTGTAGGTTATTCCCATGACTGTGTCTCCCACTACACGGAGGTCAGGAATGAATGCGTCTGACACACCCTTGGTGTCCCCCAAGCCCTGGCACTTGGCACAGGAAAGACCTCAACAATGTTTGTGGAATTGACATAAATCTAGGGTGACCAACTTGTCCCAGTTTGCCCAGGACCTTCCCAGTTTGGGCACTGAAAGTCCTGCATCCCAGGAAATCCCTCAGTCCTAGGCAAACCAAGTGGTTGGTCACCCTACTAAATCTGGATCTGTTCCTGGCCCTGGCAATCAATAACTGGGTGACCTTGGGCTAGACCTTGCCACTGTCTGGGCCTCGGTTTCCTCATCTGCCCTGCCCACATGATCCATCCATGTTCTTGTGCTTTGCAGAGTGGTCAGTGCCCAGATCCTCACCTTGAAGCCCTTGTCAACTTGGATAAAGGGGACCCCAGCACTCCCTGAGCCAGAAATGCCGGGGTCTGGTGCCCAATTCACAAGGACAATGAGCTGGACGTTGGCCCTGGCTGGACTGGCAGCATGTGCCCCAGAGCTGGAGGCCAAGGGCAGAACCAGGTGGCTTAGAAAAACAGAAATGTATTCTCTCATGGTGTTGGGGGCCAGAAGACCAAAATCAAGGTGTTGGCAGGGCCAGGCTCCCTCCAAAGGCTCTGAGGGAGAATCCTTCCTTGCCTCTTCCAGGTTCCTGTGGCCCCAGGCCATGCCATCTCTGCCTCCATCTTCAGGTGGCCGTTTTTCCTGTATGTGTCCAAATTTCTCTCTTTTTATAAGGTTAACTGTCACTGAATTAGGACCTGCTCTAATGCAGTATGACCTCATCTTAACTTGATCACATCAGCAAAGGC